TGTTATTCTTCCCTTGTAATTGGTATGGGTATTCATTCATCTTTGTCTTCGTTGGTCTAAACAGATATAAGGATACAAAAAATGCACGCATTTTGCTTGGTTGGACGAGGAGATGAGTCGTAGGGCAAAAGAGTTAATATATGCACTATTAAAGAACTTGAATGAGGAGAAGGAGATGGTCAACACCTATAAAGCAAATGAGGACAAATTTAAGATAAAGGTTAAGATCATGAAGAAGAAATTGAAGATTAATTGGATATTGTTTTTTGTCATGTTGTTTGCATTTGTTGGAACAACATTGATGAAATAGGGTATATTTCAGTAGGTTTTATTTTGTGTAATGGTGTAATAGTTAGGTCTGTTGTTGTGTACTGGTGTAATGGTGTAATAGTTAGGCTTGTTGTTGTGTCATGGTGAAATGGTTAGGTCTTTTGATAGTAATGTGCCTTATAATTTGACTCTTATTTGACACAATTTGGGTATGTATAACTTGACTCCATTTTGTCAGCAATGTGCCATATAACAGAATATTGTAATCAATATAATAATAACACTAGTATTCAGCCTTATAACAGAATATTGTAACCAATATAATAACACCAGTATTCATACCATAATATCATAACACATTAATAGAGTACAACCAGATTAATACAAGAATTGTTTTTGACCTATAATGTGACAACCAAAATAGAGTACAACCATAACACCATAAGTCATTAATAGAGTACAACCAAAATAAGAATTGTTTTCATACACTTGTTTTCATATACCTAGTACAACCAAAATAACACTCAAGACACAACTTGATTCAAAATATACTTAGACCTAAAGTACACTACTCTTGAGTGGGCTGAGGAGCTTATGAACTTTGACCAATTTCTACTTGCTTCTTATGGGTAACTTTCTTAGACTTAGCCACCTTCTTAGCCTTGTTCCCACCCTTTATAATTTCCCTATATGCATCCCTTTTACCTTTACAACTCCTCTTGTTATGTCCCATAGCACCACATTTTACACAAGTGACAATGGAAAACCTCCTTGGCAGTATGTGTGGATTCCTAGGTTCGTCTTTTAATTTGTTCCTCTATTTTTTTGGCCTTCCTATTTCTCTTCTCATAACTGGTGGTTCCACTTTATTCTGGTCACCCACATGCCAAAATTGTGGTCCATTAATTGGATACACAATATGGGAGTATGTCTCTATAAACGTTGATTTCCTGTTACACACAATAACAGTCAATAGTTAACAGTTAACACAACATAAAATGAAGTTGACACACTATAAAATGCAGTTAACAGTCAAACCTATAACATCCAGCAACATAATCCTCAGGCTTTTTCTTGATGTTCCAAATGCATGGAATTACATGGCTGCAAGGCATGCCAGTCAATTCCCACACCCTATATGTGCAAGTTTCCTTCTTAAGGTCAACACAGTAAGTGTCATTGCCATTTGTCACACCAAATATGGACAGGTCATCATCCCCATGCCATGTAGAACTCCACCCTTTTGCTTCCTTCTTATTTTTCTCAATTACCAGCTGGATTTTAGGACATATTGCCCCTGTGTAGTCCCGAATCATCTCCTTTTGACTTGCAATCCTCTTTGTGATGTAATGTTTGATGCCTTCCAACAGAGTGATAATGGGCTTCTCCCTTGCATCAAAAACTTCCTTATTAAATGCCTCACACATGTTGTTGACATGTAAATCACACATTGAATAAGTGCTGAAGTGTGATCTACTCCAATGGCTAGCAAGTATATCCATCATATCTTTCCAAGCTTCCTCTTCCATTTTCTTCATTTTCAGCATTGCCTTTTCCCATGCAGGTATTGATGTTGCTCTAGCAGCTTCCCAAAGTACTTTCTTGAATTCCAACCCAGAGTGTCTCCTTTTCCAGTTACCATACAGATGCTTAACGCACAACCTGCACTCTACATTGACACTAATTCCCTGAACAGCTGGAACAAGTCCCTGTAATAACATAACAACTGTTAGTGTAAAATGAATAATGTAAATAAATCTGTTAGTGTAAATTTCATAATGCAAACAAATCAACATCACCTTTTGTTGGTATGATATAAATGCATAGGGCCTCTGATTGTAACCTTTAAAATCATGAAGAAGGAGGTCCAAAAAACATTTTCATGAGTCCTTTGTTTCAGCTTCTACTACAACATATGCTATTGGAAAAATCTGGTTATTACCATCCCTCCTTAGTGCTGCCATTAACTGTCCACCATAATCTCCTTTTAGGAAGCATGCATCTAAGCCAATCAGTGGCCTACATGTCTGTGCAAAAGCTGCCTTGCAAGCCTCTAAACAAATATAAATCCTTTGAAACACATGCAACCCATTATTATCAGCACATTGTATTACAACAGTACTATTGGGATTGGATTTCAATACCTCTTGTCTATAAGATCTCAAATGAGAGAATTGCTCAATACCAGCCCCTTGAACCAACTCCATTGCTTTCCTCTTGGCTCTATATGCCTGGTCACGAGATAGTTTAACTCCCCACCTCTCAATAGCTTCAGCTATAAGGCATGCATGTTTCATCTGGGGACTGTGTCTAAGAGTTGTGGCAAATATTTTGGCAAGCCACTTTGTCTTTGCACTCCTGTTGGCGGCAGTCCTATGGCATGAATGTTCATCAATCAAACTCACAACTTGCCAAAATTGGTGACCAATTCTCTTACTGAATCTCATGTAGAACTTACAGCCATCAGTGCATTTCACCACAACCCTTTTGGAATCATTTTTCAGAATGTATATATTCTTTTGATTTTCCATACCTTCAATTTCCATGTATGACATGTAGTCTACATCCCAAGCCCATTCAATCTCAGTAACTTGTCCATTGACATACCACTTAACAAAATGATGAACTAGTTTTCCCCTATAGTGTATCCTCAACCTAACTTCAGCTGTCTTAGCAGGCCTGGTAAATATTCAACAAAAAGAAATTCAAATTCACGCAAACATCACAAAGAAACATAAACAAACACAAACAAACACACAAAACCACATCAATGCATAAACAATACTCTATCAGTCGGGATCACAAACAAATAAACACACCAAACACAAAGGGGACCACTGGTAATAACAAAGGAAACAGAAAAACATACCTCACACAATACTTAATATTATCGGTCGTCATCTTCGTTGGATCACGTTTCAGTCTGCAAAGGAAACTTCTGAACTTGAGGGTGAAGGTGAGTGGAAACGAAGATTAGAGGGCATGGGTGTAATTCTGATTTTAAATCAATTTTAACAAAAAAAATACGGACCAAAAATATACTTCCGGAGACATTTTAAAAATCACATAAAATATTTCTTTTAGACATGAGATGGAATAAGAAATTCCTATATTTATTTGTTAAATCCGACAATCTAGCAATGTTTGTTCTTGATCTTCTTATTCTAAGCTCAATAGCATGAGAACACGCTAGTTTAGTTTTACATGAATACTAAAGTTTCACATAAATACTAATGTATAATTTTCTAACCAAATTTCTTAGAGAGGTTTCCCTTAATTTCTGATTATTGGTTGGACATTCCAATGGTTAATTGTGATTGTGAGGATAACTAGAATGAGTCCAAAAATGGACTATTAATTAAATTTGAAAGGAATTAATTATTCCGCTGATTAAATGAATGGGTTTGATAATGCTTTATATAATCAATCCATCAAGCTAAGTTAATTGGTAGGACTTTTGTTGTTTCTTTTCAAACCAGCAGGTACATACATGATATGATAGATACAGAAATGTATAATTAATATACTCAAGTTTTGTACGTATATGAAGAAGAAATTTGCGAAGCAGGTAGTAAAAAAATAGAATGTTAACATGGGTTTGATAATAACGCAATCATTTTATACATAGATTTTTCAACCCGTGCCACACTCCCATCACATGCATCACATTCTTGCTTTTAACACAATAATAGCATTTATTCATTTTTATTTTATAAATCAACATAGTATTATTAAGAGACCGCAGAATGTGCCAATAAATAAAATTACTCTCGGTAAATCAAACAGACCCCACTTTTGCTGCAACGGTAGGAATCCAAATACCATAAGTAGTAGTATACTAGTATATTGACATAATATTTTTTGATAACTAATGTTAAATGAGTTGGGTTCTAAAAGTTCATCTGAGTTAAAATAGACCTTAAGATTCAAAAAACCACTTATATATATATATATATATATATATATATATATATATATATATATATATATATATATATATATATATATATATATATATATATATATATATATATATATATATATATATATATATATATATATATATATATATATATATATAAAGATTATCACATCAATTGTGAGTGTTAAACCCACGAGTTTTTAGTATATGACTCAATTCATTAATCTATGCCAAATCTTTAAATAAATATTTTGTATTTCAAAAGATTAATTTAACTTATGACTTTTGAGTGGAGTGGAGCTAGTAGAGAGTAATTCAAATTTAAACATAATAAGTTAATGACAATGACAACAACATCAACAAGTCTCTAGTAATCCATCTAGCTATTTTCTAACTGTTGACAGAAAAGGCACCTGTGATATTTGAAGTATATTTGGACAAAGAGAAAATGAACAAGCAAATAAAATTGGTAGATCACATACAAGTGAAATCCATATGGGTCCCATGTGGGGTGTTCTAATCTAGGGTGGTGTTCCATATTTTCACACACTTCACTTCTCATTGGGATGTCCGCACAAACCCCTACTTCCATCTCTAGCAAACACACTCTTTTCAATTTTCATCATATTTTTCCCTTTTCTTTTTCTTTTTCTTTTTCCTTTTTTTTTCATCATTAAATTCTATATATAAATAGAAATACACCCAACACATACAACACCACCTTAACATCATCAAACAAACCTATTCCGATCCCTACAAACAAACTTCCACTACCTTAATTATCTCATTCTTCAACACACTCTCTTCGATGGAAGATCACATCCACAACAACACTAGAACAATAAACACCAATTCTACCACGTGCTTAAAACTCTTTGGTTTCAGTGTCCACGAAGAAAACGACGACCCATCACCACTACCACTATTTGAAGAAGCTACCGGAAACACTTCACCTTCTGGATCCAGTGAATCCGTCAGCGGAGACGGTGGTGCTTCAAGTTTAAACCCTTCCTCCGGCGACCGTAAATACGAGTGTCAGTATTGCTGTCGAGAATTCGCAAACTCGCAAGCACTTGGCGGACACCAAAACGCGCACAAAAAAGAGCGCCAACAGCTCAAACGCGCACAGTTACAAGCTTCACGAAACGCTGCCGTTTCGTTTGTTCGAAATCCGATAATCTCCGCCTTTGCACCGCCTCCACATCTGCTTGCTTCGCCGGGACAAGTTATGATGCCGACTGTTCCTCCGTCGTGGGTCTACATGCCGCCACGTACAGCGCCTCCTCCTTTCCACGTATCAGTTTCACACGGTTGCACTTTCCCGTCGGTGAACAACAGCAACTGTAACGCTGGTGGAGGTGGTAACAGTTATAGCTTTATGACAAGTGCAAGATCCGCAGGTGCAGGTTTATTACCGTGTGTTAGCGGAGTAGGGGATTCTTCAGCCACATTGTCAACTATGGGCTCACAAGCACAGAGCATGGCCCAGTTTGGGAAACTTGATGGGCCATCTTTGAGTAGGTTCTCAAAAGGAGATGTGGGGCCCAACTTTGAGGATGGGTTCGGTTTGGATTTGCATCTTAGTCTATCCCCGCCTTGATGGATCGGCGCAACTCCTTAATTCAATTCGGTTCCACTCGATTTTTTTTCTCTTTTTTAATAGATAGTAAAATATTAGTAATTAGTTATTATATTTCTCGATTTTCTCTTTTACTAGCTAGGTTAAAACTCCGGTTCTTCAGATCTGTAGAACTATCAATCTCTAGAATCCAATTGTGAGTGAGTATCATATGATGCAACCATATGCAAAATTGAAGCTCCGTACGCTCTTTACGGTGGTATATATGGCTGCTAGTAGTAGTTCAGCTTCGCATTTTGTACATTTTTTTCTTACACATTTTTTCTGCCTCAAGAAATTGATTAATTTCAGTTGGAAAGGATTGCAGTATTACACAAGGTTGTATTTAATATTTTGTACATCACCTCTCTATTTAGGTGTTCAAACTGGGTTATTTTTGTGATAAAACTGGAATTTTAAATATAAGTACGTAACCACATTTACATATGATGTAATAGTAAATACTAATACTAGATATTAAATTCAATTAGACCTAGGAGCTATTACGAGAAACTGTTCATACTTTTGTTGAATTTTCTCCATGTGTTTCTGTGAGGAGTATAAGGATAAAGACAAGAATCCTCTAATTTATTTTTATCTATCTTTGTTTTGATATTATTTTGCTCGAATATTTTTTCTTCTATTTTTAATCACACATATCTCCTACTTTACTCAAATTTTGCTTAAACTTATTTTATATTTTCTGTTTAAAAGTAGAGGATCCAAATTAGTTTAGAATAGAAGAACATCATATTTTCTTGAATATAATGATTGAGGGGTGGAGTTGAATAGTGAAAGTGAAATAAATTAAGAGTTTAATTCCAATTTCAGCACAAAAACTAACTTTTTAGTAACTTTATTTAGAGTGACTTCCTCACAAATATCTAGGAGTCCATATTAATTCTTGAAAAAAAATTAAATTAAATTATTTACACATTAAAATGGGACACATGTTTTGTAAACAAAAAATGTAAATTTTAGATCCTTGCAAAAATATTTTTTGGAGACAATGTAGTTTTTAAAATTTTTTAATTAAAAAATATAAATTAGAAACTTACACTTTTTATTTCTATTTTTTTTTGTTAGATATAAAACATGCAGTTCCTATTTATTTAGGGATTAGTATAACTTTTTTAATTTTTTGTTAGAGACTAAATTAGTACTTTCATTTTGTATCAAGTACTAAATTGAAAGTTTAATTTTTTTGGGTGAGGGTGTAAGTTGGTACAACTTCAATAAGTAATAAGTATATGTTTTGTTTTATGGTCAGAGTATTTAAAATTTCAAAATTGAATCTACATGTTTAGAATTGATTTTCACATGAATGATTGCTATTAATGTCATGTAATATAGAAAAGGTATTTCTATAAAAATTATATCGTATATGTTGTAAATTATGATAGTATTAAAAACAAATGTTAATTTAGAATGACATAATAAATAGAAAAAAAGTAAAGTTTAAATAAAAAATTCAATGACAGAGAAAATATTAATGACAGAAAATAATAAATTAGAAGTGTTGTTATTACAATAAATTAAATTTTGGATACATTGGTTAAAAAGGTAATTAGAATGATATAAAACAAATACAATGTAAAAAATAGAGTGGTATTTAAAAATAAAAGTGAAAATGAAAAATTGATAATATATGCCTATTTAGGTGGAGAATTTGAAACGTCGAGACATATTGTAGTGTAAGAACCAAAACGGCATTTGTAGAACAGGTTGTTCCATCTACAAATAGTATCATCAAATCTAAATTGTTTACAAACAAAACCCATTCAAAGATGCTTTGGTATCACCTACTACGCTCAGTTCACAATGGTTGTGAAATGCTTTACTAAAACGGTACTCAATGTTGAGGAGATTCCATCACAGTAAGAAAATCGATTGCGTATGTGTTTACGCATGTAGTATTTTATTTCTGCTTTCCTATGTAGATGAGAGTAAAATACAGTTCATGTGCTTTTATTGTAGATATTATGTGTTTGATGAAAATGTTGTTGATGGTTTTAGGGTTTCTAACCACAAAAACATGACATATTGCAAAATCTGAGACGTTAATATTAAGTAGGGTTTTTTTTAGGGTTTATTTGTGTTTGCATATGTGATACGGTGAGAGAACTGACTTTTTGTTTTGCGTTTGATTGCAATGTTGCGGATAGCAAGAGTCGCCACCGACTTTTCTTTTATCCAATAAAGAAAGACTGAAAAGAACATGAAAGACCTTTAGAGATGTTTTCTTGAGTTCGGAGGATAGATTATGAAAAGGAAAGATGTTAGCACCCTTTTCATCCGTAGTTATCTACGGGCTCTTAGTTGCTCGCTAGATCACTTGCTTTCGTTTTGAAATGTGCTTTGTGATGTGGATTTTAAAAATATTTTGAAAATGTGACTTTGTAATGATTCTCGTCTCTATAAGAATGGGTACAAAGTGTTAGTTTTTGAAAATAGTTCAAAGAGATGTGCTGGTGTATAAAAATGTTTTTGTTGTGAGAAAGCGAGCAACTAGGAGCGAATCTACCTACTCAAAAGGTCTTAGATGTTCTTTTCCTCTTCCTTTAGATGTTGCTATCTTACCATTGATTTGGTAAGAAGCCCCATCGTTGGATGTGAAGGGACGGGCGTGGGACGTTTGTATAGTCATAAAAGGCAACCTATGAGACACTTTAGCAATATCGTTTTAGGGACTAAATCATTTACCGAAGGCGGCATCGAGGGTCATCGAGGGACTATGATCTTTTATCGAGGGTCTTTTGCCAAAACGCCCATGTTCGAGGGACATGACTATTTTTCCGATAAGCCACAAAGTGGGATTACCCTAAGGGTGCTAGTGTGCAAGTGTGTTTGATTGCATGCATTTAGTCTTGATTAGGGTGATCTATTCGTTGATTTCATATTTTGCCATACACATCCTAATTACTAGCATTTCATATTTGGAAAAGCGTTAAATTGCGGAAATGTAAAAGTCCTACGCTATTACAATATTTTAGGGATGGGGATACATATTTACAAATGGGGGGTTGCAAGAATTTAAATCATATTTAACTATTACAACCATATTGAAATGTACAATGCATGAGAGAAAAAAGACTTGTTTAGAAAATGATTTTTGGTCTTAATAAATTAATTAATAAAAGAAATATTTTTATGTCTTTTTTATATTAATGAAAAAGGGAATTGATATTGAAAATGATAAAAAGGAAAATAAATGAAAGATACAAATAACGTGTTGCTGCAAGCAAAACAACAAGGATCAGAAGTTCTGAAGCCAGACGCGTGGTGACTCAGAAAGGAACGTTAGCGGAATCAGAAGTTCTGGATTGATACACTCTAAGGCCCTGCAAGAAACGTCAGAGGGAAAGGAAACATAGATTCTAGGTGGTATTCAGGCAGTGAGCCAAAAGTCAGAAGTTTTGTACTGTGCTAAAATAGTGAGTGAATATCAGAAATTCAGTGTGTTGTCAGCGTGTGAAAAATAAAAAATTATGAGTGTTAAAACAGCGAGTGGAAGCATCAGAGGTTCAATGTGCTTAACAGTAAGAAAGCCTAGAAGTTCTATGTTAAAATGGTGTAGGGAGAACTCAGAATTTCTGTGCTGTTCTAAAATAGTGAGTGAGCATCAGAAGTTATGTATGTTAAAATAGTAAGAAAGCCTAGAAATTCTGTGTTAAAATGGTGAATGAAAGACAAAAGTTTTGTGTTACATTTCAACTTTTTCATCATATTAATCAGCACATCAGCAATTTATTCAGTTCTTAACAAACAACAAATTAGAAGGATAAAAGCACAACAGTTTATAGAAGTTCTAATCCTAGTTCTGAGCCTAGCCTTAATCAAGAAGTTTTGATCCACAGTTTCTTATGCAATGATATGGACAATATCAACACTAAGATATTTACATATTTAATGATATTCTGAATGAGAAGATGCAAAGTCAGAAAGACTTACCTTGAATCTGGAGCGTGTGCTTGGAACTTGAACTGCTGCCTTCAAATGTTCTGGAGTCAGCAAGAGCAACGGAAGAGAAAATGCCAAGTTCTTTGATTCAAAAGGGAAGAACAAAGGTTTGGTTTTCTGTTTGGCAATTCTGGATTTTTACGAAGGTTTCACAGTTTTTCTTTTCTCTCTTTTGACAATTTTCTCTCTCTAAAGACCAGCCAGCCCCTTGAACGTGTGATGGAGCAAATTATTTATAGATGGGTTTGTTGTGGTTTTGGGAGGGAAAAACAAATGGGATTCAAACCTTTTTGGTATACTGTTTCATTACTTTTTAATCACAGTTTTCATATGCTAATTTGATGCAAAAATGGGGTTTGAGAAAGTGCAGGCGTGGACTGAATCAGCAGCTGATTGCAGGAATGTGATACAGCGAGGCATCAAGTTGCTTAAACGAGGTTTTGGGATTTGGTGATGTTCTGATCGCAGAAGATCAGAAACGTAACCTCCATATGCTGAAGAGTCATGTTCTGATTGAAGAACTATGTTCTGAACCATGTTTGCAACTTTTGACTGCACTTGCGTGGAGGCTGGCTCAGAAGTTCTGAAGCATCATTGTTGTACCCCAAAATTTGCCCTCCCATTTCCTCAACATTTTCTCATCAACAAAACCCTTGAAGATCAAGATCCAGTTAGGGTTTCCTCTGCTCAAGACTTCTCCTTGCACTGTGGACCCAAATTAGGGTTTGTGGTTGAACAAAGATGTTTTGACCTAAAATGCCTAAAATGACTTTCATGCTTCATATTGGACTCCCAAGTTTATCCCTATCAAGTTTCAAGTCTTGATTCCAAATTTTGCCCAGTCAATTGGACAGTTGACCTAGAAATCAGCTGTATTGGGGAAAAAGTCAACTGTGACCAATTGACAGTCAAATCTCATAAAAAATTGACCCACATCAACATTATGAACTCATATGGACCATTTGATCAAGTTTGGATCACAATTCCACAAGAAATTTGATCAGATCATCAAAAGGGCAAAA